CTGTCTCCTTTATATTGTAAAGCGCTGCACAAAATGTTGGCGCTATATAAATCCTGTATAATAATAATAATAATGCAACAGAAATAAAAAGGAGGAGTTGAAAATTAATACGTGCAAATCCAAGTTTCAGCAGTGTCCAGTGAATAAGAAAAAATGGTACAATGGCTCCCACAAGTCCTGTTAGGTATTCCTTGGTTTGATGTTAAAGCGAGAGCTGGCAAAATGTGGTGGCATTAAATTTTTCATTATATCAAGGGGGTGCTGACAGACCAGATGATAAATCATCTGGTCTAAAGGGTGGTTGCTGGGATGTCACCACTTTTATGATCGAGTCCCAAATACAATATATATAACCTTTTTGTGATATAGTAAATTAACAAAATAAATGAAATTAAGAAATCATAAAATATATACCAAGAAATATAAAATATAAATAAAAAAATACAAAACTCCCCAAATCCAAGTGTCCAATAATATAAATCCCAAAATAAGTCCAAAAACAGTGTCCAACACTGTTTTTGGACTTATTTTTGGATTTATTATTGGACACTTTTGGATTTGGGGAGTTTTGTATTTTTTTATTTATATTTTATATTTCTTGGTATATATTTTATGATTTCTTAATTTCATTTATTTTGTTAATTTACTATATCACAAAAAGGTTATATATATTTTATTACACTTTCTAGGGTGGAAGGTATTAACTTTTTGAGGGGAAAAAAAAAAAAAAAAAAAAAAAAAAAAAAAAAAAGGAGGGTACACATTTAATGAGTCCCAAATACAGTTTTCTATAAGTATTAATATCTCTCAATAGCTGCAGGGTACAGTCAGCTACCCTGCATATTTTTTTCCCCAGCATGAAATTAGCTTCGAAATATTCAAATATTGAAATGACAAGTCGCGAATATCTGTTTCTCATAGGAGGGGTGTGGAGGCCTAATCTACTCTGGTACTTCTTAGCATAGGGGTGTTTGGGTTCAGAATACTACCCAATAACTGATGGAGAATATGACTTTATTCGGACTTTACTGTCATAATTTCTGAAGTTATGAAATATAGTGGGATGATAATGGCTTCTACCGAGAGACATATGGGTAGTCTATAGATTTCCAACTAATGTATTTTTACTCTCTAGCCACTGAAGCAGCTAAGAAGGACACTTTTATGGGCCCTGAGATGTGTATTGGGGGTTAGATTCTACTAGTCCTATTAACAGAAGGATAAGGGGTGTCTGGCATCAGTTAACAGTTGTGTATTATATAAACTGAAGGAAGGAAGGTGTGGAGAGGGGCAGTTACTATGGCTATGCCGCCATTAGACAAAATGGCGTGATAGACTTGTGACGTGAAGAAAGTGGCTGTTACACACACAGCTATTCAGGTGCCAGGTAGGCATGACCAATACACACATTACTACATAAGATATTGCGTATCAATGTGTGTGTGTGACCACAACAGTGTGAAGGAGGCTTCAAGGATCATGTTCCCGGCTTCAGAAAGATTTCTGGCACGGTTGATAATTAAAGCAGACCATTTCCCCGCTGATAAAAATCACATCACCATGCAGCTCTGCATACTGGTAGGAAATCATCTTTCACTCATCAGTAAACATTTTTTACTTTTACCTACAATTACAGTTTTTTACATTTGCGGTTTGAGTTAGGCACTGACGATGTAACCAGGGTCTCACAGATGCATCCTGAAAAAGGCTAAATCACCAGTGTCTTCCCCTCAGATCATGTGTGCTGTCACAATTATCTAAAGTATCTGTTTGTAGAGTGTTATTACTAAACATTTCTAAAAGTGAAAATAATCACTCTGAGATTGCAATGCATTAACCTTTGTATCCCTTTTAGGTTTGTGAATATGGACAATGTTGTATGCTGGTGTGTTCTGATCTGGTGTGGAAGTAACCAAAGTGGAGGGTGAAACCACCAAGCTGGACATAACTCATACTTGCAAAGAAAATATCTGGTAAGGTGCATTTTGCCTGCAAGGGATCCAACTTGCCTAGCTTTTTATTCTTCCTTAAGAGTCCATTACATAATTCAGACTACCATAGCCATTATGTTATAGTCTTCTTAACTTCATAAACAAGACATGCAAGTCAATCTGTCAGAAAATGTTTATTAAAACAAAAATGTGTACAGACAGTTAACTGGAAGAGTTTAATTTCTGTAAAGCTTCTTTTTCCCCCCCACAGTTCTTCAAAGTGTATGAATTAGCAGCAGAACTAGGATCATACAGTACTTTTACAATCAACGGTAAGATGTTTATATGGAATGTCTGACGAGGCCAACCTAGGTGATACTGTTTTCAGGTATAGCCTGATAAATCATCCATACTGCAAGTCTGTGACATACAATTCACAGGCATTGTTTTTTCTGAAATCTTCGTTTTAAAAAGGCACAGTAAGAAAAACCAAATCGACATGTACATGTATTGTTGCATTTATGATGATAATGCAACATGATACTCTGAAATCACAGTTGATCTCAATCTCCTTAAAATAAAAAAAAAAATAAAAAAAAAAAAGCCCCACACTATAACCATTGGCTTTAAATTTTCTTATAGGATAATTGATCAATTAGAACAGCACTCCTCACCAAATAAATCCGTGATGATACAAACCAAAACATGTAAGCATCAATATTAGTGCAAACATGAAAATCAATTGAAATACATTGGTGCAAATACTGAAAAATAATCAAACTCATAAATCACGCATATATGAAAAGTAACTATATAATCAAATAAATCAGTGTTCAAAAATGTCCATAAAAATATATTGTGAAAAAAAAAAAATACAAATAATATATATATATATATATATATATATATATATATATATATATATATATATATATACACTCCAAAATGTCCTATTGATTTAACTCACCAGAGCTCCATTCTGGTAAAATTATAAACCAGCTTAAAGCGCTTTGTCTCTGGGAGCAACGATCTGCAGAGGCACTCGATGACTATTGCAACTCCTTACTCAGATCTTCATACACTCAAATGGGACCATAAAGGAAAGCAAGAGGAATCTACATAGTGTAAAAACCATCCAGGCATTTTATTACATTAAAAGCTTCAGGAGCGTCTGATGATAAAACGTGTAGGACGGGGCTTAGGAGGTGACGTCACCACGTCTGGGTGAGCTGCAAGTGATAGATCAAGACCGGAGGTAACCAATTGCTGTTTTTATACGGTATATGCTAGTGTTGGCTGTGACACTTTCTATTGTGAGTGTAATCTGAAGCTTTTAATATAATAAAATGCCTGGATGGTTTTACATTATGTAGATTCCTCTTCCTTTCCTTTATGGTCCCAATTTGAGTGTATGAAGATCCGAGTAAGGAGTTGCAATAGTCAGCGAGTGCCTCTGCAGATCGTTGCTCCCAGAGACAAAGCGCTTCAAGCTGATTTGTAATTTTACCAGCATGAAGCTCTGGTGAGTTCGTTCAATTTGTTCGGTGGTGGATTTCACGTGCTTTTTGGGATTGCACAACACAGAAGGTTTAATAAGACATTTTGGAGAATATATAAATATATTTTTATGGACATTTTTGGACACGGATTTATTTACTTACCAATATTGATTTATATAGTCACTTCGTCACTTTCATATATGCATGATTTAGCAGTTTGAAAATTTTTCAGTATTTTCACAAATGTATTTATGGATTTTCTTTTTTGCACTAATATCGATGCTTACCTTATTTGGTTTGTATCAAAAGATATTTATTTGGTGAGGAGCGCTGTTCTAATTGATCATTTATCCTACAATCACCTTGGTTTCAAGGACTAGATAGCTGCTCCTCTTCTTCTTGTTCATAATTTTATACATTTTTTATTTTCTTTGCATACATCCAGTGGTGCCGTCCATATTTCAGCAATATTATTTTTTATTACAGGTACTTATATAGCGCTGTCAATTTACGCAGCGCTTTAATATCTTACATTTTCTTATACCCATCAAGTCAATATGGCGCATTCCTACAGCTTATCCACAGGAAGTACTAAAATGAAGGGATAAATTATCTTTTGGGGTAAGTGGCTAAAAACAGACATAATGGGAGATTATTTTTTAAGGCAGTGGAAAGTACAATTCCAGTGCAAAAAGCTGTAACCCATAATTAAAATTCATATCTTCATGAAGCTGGCCATACTAAAGTAAAATTTGATTGGCCTCCATTGGTCACTGCACTTTACATTAACTTATTAAATAAACAGAGCACATATTGACCCGAGTCAACATTCCAGAGATCATCAAATCTCCGAGTAGTCTACCAGCAGAATGAGCTGGAATACTCTCAGTCTGAGTCCCCTCCATCATCACTCTGCACAACTGCAGCGTTCTCCACCTGCAAAATAGAGAAAGCACATTAGATTGCGTACCATGTCCCTCAACATGACCCAGCAACCTGACTACCCATAACCCCACATCTTTTAACACTGCCATAGTGTGACAAAAGCAATGTTACACAAAGCTGTTAGAGACTCCTGCCAATTTACAAAAAGTTAAAAAAAAACTGCCACCAAATTACCAATCATGTTGCAGGGTTATTATATAGATCGCTTTCACACATGCACAGAAATGCAGAAGGTGCAAAGAAGGACTTCACTCATTTTAGTGGAATGATGAGCTCCCACGTGGCTATAGAAATGCTGAGATGAACCACTAGCATAGAAATGAATTAATCCATATGACTCAGAGACCATGGCATCTCTGTGTAATTCTTATTTCTATATATAAGACAAAACCCAATCCTAAACCAACCCGCAGCCATATGTACTACATCCCACAAAACAGCAACTGGCTTCTACAAAACAGAAAAAGTGAACCTTTTTGTAATCTAGAGATAAGGGTATATTTAATATGCAACATATTGTCTCAACAGCAAGGAATTCCTTTCCAAAAAATGCACACATTACTGAAAAATAACTATTTTAATGAGATTAAGAAAATCTGATTTAAAAAAAAAAAAAAATTATGAGCTAGTTTGTTGGACTACACAGGCAGCTACTAGTAGATATAATTGCACCACTTACCTTATGGTCATTAACATTTTGTTGCTGTGAAGTTGCATCATAGTCATGTATAGATAAAGTTGCAAGCCAGCTTGCCATTGACTTTTCGTCAATTTCTGTTTGGATGATAGTGGGATAGATGTGCTCCTTCTTAAAGGCCTCAATATACTCTTCTTTTTCTGTCCAGTCTAAAGACTCATGAAAGCCGTCATTGCCAAAACGCCGGTTGTATTTCTCGAAGTGAACCCTCTCTAAAACAAGCCCCAGACCAGGAACTTTGGGAATGTCAACTTTTTCTTCTCCCCAGCTGCGTTCCATAATAGAAGGTGCTGCATATCCCTTTACCACTGCAATAACCAACCCAATCATCTTCCGTATCTGATGCATCATGAAGCTTTGGCCTTTTACTTTAATTACAGCCAGTTCCAGACCTCCTTGTTCAAATGGAGGCTCACAGTGCATCTCCATGATGTACCGCTTTGCACTGGGGTCCCAAGGCCCTTTTTGTGATGTGAAATTATGAAAATTGTGAGTTCCCTTGTATAGGGAAAGCAGTTCATTCACTCTGTTCAATGTTTCTTGACTAAGTCGGAAACTTTCATCCTGTGTTTCATGGTCCTTGTGTGCAAATGCAAAAGTAGGTATTGTGTAGGAATAAGTCCGAGCATCACAAGAGTTCTTGGAGTTAAACCGCCCTGTCACCCTCTTTAAACCTTAAAAAAAAACAAAAAACAGAATTAGAACAGCAAAACTAATTTTTTTTTTAAATTTTATAATCATCTAGTATTTTATTATGGACAAAAAAAAGTGTATACTCATTTTCAAATAATGTACTGATAAGTTGCAATGGTTTCATTTCTTGTGTTTTCACTACCTACATATGCAATGAGGCTTTTCAAAGATATTTATGGACATATAGGAACATTCTGGCTATTCTGCCTCCTAGGTTTACCACTGCGTTACAGAGGACAACAGAAGCGGTAACATCAGGGCTCTATACAATCACACTTACAATTGACTACATGACCCCTCTGTGGTCAGAATAGATTAATTTTCATTTGGTATACAAACATTGGCAAGCTCTTTGATCATCATGTGTACATGCACATGAGTTAATACGATAGCCAGGATCAACTGACATGTGCGCAATGCATCGAAGAGTAATTCCAAGAGAAGCACTACAGCAGTCCCCAAAATCTATGATCTGCTACTGAACACTGTTACATATAAACTTCAAAAATGTGTACGCTGCTTTTTATTAAGTTGTAGGGTGGACCCCTTCCTTTATAGTAGGTGTATTGCCACTGTTTTTTTTTTTATTGGATTAGGGAAGGGTTAAAACCCCTGCCAGTTTACCTTTTGCCATTTGTGTACTGCTTGAAAAATTTATTTTTACTTCCTAACAATAGAAAGTTAGAAGAAACCCCCCCTAAGTAAAGGGAATTCGCAAATTGTCCCTGAAAAACAGATGTCCCCATTTGGAGATTTCTCCTTACCAAAGCTGGCATCAGCTGTGGCCTCAACGTTCACACAGTAGAAACAGAGAATGTGTAACCAGATAACCAGGTGGCAACCCTGCAAACCTGAGAAACAGTTACTAGGTACCAAAACTGGCAATAAGCACACGCAGATTTAGTGTGCCTTCACAGGAAAAAGAAAAACAAACACACATGGGTAACACTGGGTTCAGATAGTAGCCTCACAGAGGTAAGGACAACAGGGAATGTTACCTCGTGAGCAGAAAAAAGAAAGTCTCTGATAGGTTTAAAACACAGGTTCTGAAGGGCATGAGAATCAGATTCAGATACCACTGAGTTACAGGGAACAAACAGGGGGAAATACGCGAGAGACTCCCTTTACACAAGGTCCTAATCAAAGAGTGAGAGGCCAACAGTACTTTGAGAGTAATGAGAGCCAAATGCTGGATTCTTGAGCCACCAAGTCAGAGACAACCTGGAGCCAAATAAATCCGTCTGGACTGACTTCCCTCACAACAGAATGTTGTGCTGTAGAGGTATGGAGTAATACTAGGCAAACAGGACTGCCTTGAAGGAGGCTACCATCCTGGAATGAAGAGTCAAGTTTCTCCAGTGAAAGAAATGCTCTGGCTTGTGCCGTGTCTAGGACCAAACTCAGATACTCAAAAACAATGTGCCAGAGCTGAGAACGCTGATGAGGGATCCCAGTGGAGAAGAAATGGGACCAGTCTGTGCAATACCATTGCACAGAGCAGGTAAGTATAGCATGTTTATTATTTTAGGGGAAAAAACCCCCAAACTTTAAAATTACTTTAACACCCTTCCCAATAGCTGCTGACATCCCTTTAATTGGGCTTCAATGCTGAAGGGGTAAAGGCTGTTATTGCCTTTCACAATGGTCACCACGCACACACACTTATCTGGCTAACCCTCAAGTGCAGGGAAAATGGAAAGGTGAATCATGCATCAAAACGTGTCCATATCACAGTATGCAGAAACTACCTTAAATTCTAGGATATTGGAGAACAGCAATAAGCGTGTCATTTCCAGCACCCATCTGTTTTTAAGTCTAAAAATGTACACTTTTAGGGTTGGACTAGATAAAAATATGCTTTTCCCAACTAGCCATGTAAATGCCAAGTAGCTTCTTGATTTTGAAGACTGCTGCAGCACATACTGCTGGCTTATCCCTTGCTTAAAACACAGTAAACTGTATAAGTCGACTGACAGATTTTCATAGTTTGAGGCGAAAAAAAATGCAGTCATCTCACAGTTTTCATAAGAAGAGATTGCTCACCCAGCACTCTGATGTGTGAAGGAAGATGACCATTTATTTTCTCTACTGTGTTATCGATCAGCCTAATCTTCAATGACACAACTTGTCCTGCAGCAGAAACTCCCTACAAAAAGAAAAGAGAAGACACTTATGAAACCTGAACTCCACCTTATAATGCCACAATCCTTCCTCTCATCAAACTTAGTCAATACCTTTTATGTTTTCATAGCTTTCAGTTTAAAATGGTTCATTTGGACCAAGCTGGTCCAAACTATTTATCTTCAACAGATGCAGCAGCTGGGAAAACTGTATGTAACCTCAGCTACTGCTGATTGAACGGAAAAAAAAAAAAAAAGAATTTGTGGGCTGCCTAAGATTCAGTGTCTCTCCAGATTATATTTATATTTTTATATATATATTTTGGATGTATGGATTGGTGGCAGATTGGCTCATTATTAGCAAGGCTTTCTTTGATCGCTACATAGGTCACAGAAAAAAAGAGGGTATTTTTCTGGCTGTGCAGCGTCAGAGTCTTTAAGGAAGTGTTAAAAATAGAGGCCTTTTTCAGGGGCTGCCCTACTTCTAAAAATTTATTTAGAAGGTTTTTTTTTTTTTTTTTTTTTTTTTTTTTTTTTTTTTTTTTTTTTTATCTGACACATACTTCTTTAAGATACTGATTGGAAACAATTCTTCAGATAATGAAAATAGCACAGAAGCCCCTGCATTGTCCGGTGGCAGTTGCTAAAGGATACAAAGAAATGGGTAAGCATGAAAGCCAGGTGTTTTCCTTCCTTTCTTGCTTGCGAAGCTTAGGCTACGTTCACACTAGCCTTGTTTTCAAGCAGCAGAAAGCCGTTTGGGAAGCGTTTTTACCGCTTCCCAAACGCTCGGACAATTCTGCCCATTGCAACACATGGTGCTGTTCTAACTGGAGCGGGTAGCGTCGCGGCAAAACAGACGCCTCTGGTCAAGTCAGGAGGTGTTGAAGCCTCCTATTCTAGTCTATGGTGCCGCTCCGCAAACGGCCGGCCGGCGTTTGCGGAGCATTTGCGGAGCATTTGCGGAGCGGTAACACCATCCAAACTTCATTATAGGCGTTTGTGGGGCGTTTTTAACGCTCGGCAAACGCCTAGCAACCGCCGCTGAACCGCGCATGCGGGGTTTGCCGAGCGTTAAAAAACGATCCGCAAACACCGGACCAACGCTTGTCAAACGCTATAGGGGCATTTGGCAAGAGTTGGTAAAACAGTCAAGTGTGAATGAGGCCTTAAGCAATGAAGGAACTACCCATGAACTGCTGTGTTTCAGCAGTGGGATGGGTACATCCCGTCCTGCTCCGAGAACAAAATTAAGACAGGCTGAGCACTGCTCGGCCATTCACAGGTAGCTTTGTATTCTGTGAATGAATACAAAGTTTCCTCTGATTGGCTGAGGTGGAGAGGCAGAGATCATAACATCATTTGCCCGCTTCTCCACCTCGGCCAGAGGAAACTTTGTATTCATTCATAGGATACAAAGCTCCTTGTGAAAGGCCGAGCAGCACTCGGCCTGACTTGATTTTGTTCCCGGAGTGGGACAGTAAGTTCCCATCCCACTGCTGAAACACAGCACTGCATACTCTACGTAGCGGAGGCTATATACAGTTTTCCCAGCTGCTGCATCTGTTGGTGAAGATAAACAGTTTGGACCAGCTTGGTCCAAATGAACCATTTAAAAACTTTACTGAAAGCTATGAAAAAAATATGTTTTTAATAAACAGGCAGCATTAAGAAAAAAGGAACACAAAAGCCAGGGTAGGCAGAACATAGGATAGAGTGATAAGGGGTTAAGATTTTTACTGCTGTGTTCCCGCTGACGAGATTCACCTTTTTTATTTGTCCTGGAGATCACTGGCACTAAAATGGCAAAATCTGGAGTTGTCTTAAAAACATTAGAGTTATAGAGTTCTATTATAGACTGTAGGAGTTATAGTGTAATTTCTTTGTGTCACTGACTCAGAACAAGTCTTCATATCATTAGCTGGTATTCCTCTGACTATACTAGCTGCATGCTTGCTCCAAGTCAGTAACAGAAAGTATGGACAACAGAGCCAGTAGGCAACAAGCATGTTTAGATTAGCACAGAGGATAGGAAATGAAAGCCAAAAAAAAGATACTCTTAAAGTGTATGTAAACCTTAAATCTGTTTCAGTATGGTGGCATCATGCATCACTTATGCAGTTTTATGAATCAGATTCATGGCTTTTTTTTTTTATTATTATTTTTTTTTAATTTATATTATTGTTTTTTAATTTGTTGAAGACAAGAAGTCTACAACAGGAAGTGCTGTTACTGGCATGATCCATTCCTCAGGTGAGATATTTTACAACAAATTTCTAAAAAAAAACTATTTGCTTAAGGAAATTGGATGTAGTGAGACATGAAGCCCAAATATATTGAAAAATAGAATTTGGGTTTATAATATTAAGACTACTTCTAAAAAAGTTAAAACAAGGAATAATCTGAATCTGATTTGCAGGAGGAAAAAAAAAAAAAAAAAAAAAAAAAAAACGCACACCAAAAACATACAAAGGACATGATTCCTACAGAATGTTAGAGACTTACAAGTTGTATTGCTGTCACTTTTATTTTGCTGAATAATCAATGAAAAAATTTGTGAAAGAAAAAAATGAAACATGGGGACAGCCACCACCAGAAGAAAGAAATGTATGCCAAGAAAATACATTCTACTATTTAGAATGGGAACAATTATGGGTAGTTCCTTCATTGCTTAAGGGCTCATTCACACTTGACTGTTTTACCAACTCTTGCCAAACGCCCCTATAGCGTTTGACAAGCGTTGGTCCGGTGTTTGCGGATCGTTTTTTAACGCTCGGCAAACCCCGCATGCGCGGTTCAGCGGCGGTTGCTAGGCGTTTGCCGAGCGTTAAAAATGCCCCACAAACGCCTATAATGAAGTTTGGATGGTGTTACCGCCCCGCAAACGCTCCGCAAACGCCGGCCGTCCGTTTGCGGAGCGGCACCATAGACTAGAATAGGAGGCTTCAACACCTCCTGACTTGACCAGAGGCGTCTGTTTTGCCGCGCCGCGACGCTACCGCTCCAGTTAGAACAGCACTATGTGTTGCAATGGGCAGAATTGTCCAAGGCGTTTGGGAAGCGGTAAAAACGCTTCCCAAACGCCTTTCTGCTGCTTGAAAACAAGGCTAGTGTGAACGTAGCCTAAGCTTCGCAAGCAAGAAAGGAAGAGGAAAACATCTGGCTTTCATGCTTACCCGTTTCTTTGTATCCTTTAGCAACTGCCACCGAACAATGCAGGGGCTGCTGTGCTATTTTCATTATCTGAAGAATTGTTTCCAATCAGTATCTTAAAGAAGTATGTGTCAGATAAAAAAAAAATAAAAAAAAACAAAAAACCTTGTAAATAAATTTTTAGAAGTAGGGCAGCCCCTGAAAAAGGCCTCTATTTTTAACACTTCCTTAAAGACTCTGACGCTGCACAGCCAGAAAAATACCCTCTTTTTTTCTGTGACATATGTAGCAATCAAAGAAAGCCTTGCTAATAATGAGCCAATCTGCCACCAATCCATACATCCAAAATATATATATAAAAATATAAATATAATCTGGAGAGACACTGAATCTTAGGCAGCCCACAAATTCTTTTTTTTTCCGTTCAATCAGCAGTTAGAACGAAAAAAAAAAAAATGACCAGATTCCCTCATCTATACATGTGAGGTGGGAATCACTTCCGCTGAGCCTTTGTATTCTGATAGAGTTCCCCACCTCCAGAATACACCGATTAATGCTGGCAGCTACAGATGACAGCGCTGATCGAAAATGTACTAACAGGCTAGTTGTACAGAAGTTGATCAGTAGATCGACTTCTACAGAACCAGGCTGCCCATACATGGATCTAAATTCAGTCGGTACCTGTTGGCTTTAACCACTTCAGCTCCCGTACCTCAATTTCCCTTATTGACTAGAGCAACTTTTACATTTTTACTATTGGCCTGTTTATTCAGTAATAACTTTGTAAATACTTAGATGAAAAAATTTTTTTTTCTGAAACGCTCTTTTCTATATACTGCCTTTTTTTTTTTTCAAACTTTGCATATTTTGTATGCAACACTGGGAAAAAAAAATCGAATATTATACACACATACATACCCACCCATACATACACTGTACACAGTAAAACAAAACAATTTGAAAAAGGAAAAAGAAAAAAAACTAAAAGAGAAAAAAAAAAAAAAAAAAAAAGGGAGGAGAGAGGAAGGAGTTAGTTAGGGCTGATTTAGCTAAAGCTTCTTAATAGGAAAATCAGAAATACACTTTACTTTTTATTTAGTCTTTTTTTTTTAATAAAATGTTGGCTGTTCTAATAAAGCCCAACACTACCTGAATGCTTATTGTCCCTATGCGTAAACTGATTAAGATGGTCTCACTTGAATGGTGAGAGACAGCAGGAAGGGGTCCCTCCTCTTTGGGCCAGTGCCCAAACAGCCTCCCTCCTACCCCAAAAAATACAATCATATTAAAAACAAAACAAAAAAAAAAAAAACACACTACCTTAAGTGGGGCAAAGATACTTACTTGAATCCGTAGTCATGTGATGTGCTGCATTTGAAGCACTTTCCTCTACACTGCAGCAGAGTAGTCCTCCTTTGACTCGCTTTCTGGCGCCATGAACAGTTCTTATCTATTAATCGAAGGTGTCCTCACAGGTCTTGAGGACTCCAGTGCACAGACTGCAACAGTGGTCTCCACTAGCAGAAGAGGTGCCATGGAGGGTCACATGATTTTAAAAATCAGGAAAGTAAAAATATAAATAAATAAAAAATTGATGAATGTGTGGGAGCGAATAACTTAGATTGCATTTCTACCTGAAGATGGGCTTTAACAGAAGTTGCTTGAAAGAAAACAAGAAGGGGGTGATGAAGCCTTGCAACATTCCCAACATCTCACCATGGGACTTGTGCACCTAACAGGCTCAGAAAACTGCAAAGCAGTCTTGTGCTGGACATGAATGTAACAGTACAATTGTCTCAATTAGTCATGCTTTCAAAAAAATGCATCTCACTTAATTAGTGGTTTGATCAATTTCAACAAAAAGGAAGACTTGTCCTGCCAGAAAAGGTTTTTTTTTGTAAATGATCTTTTTTCAGCAATTATTCAAACACTTGAATTCACAGCTGTATTGCTACATGGCCAGCATAAGGAAATCAAAACAGGATTATTGTCTCTAAGCTGCAAACAAGATAGATACCCACCACCACCTGTTCTGTGGGACTGGAAAACATTGAACAGGTTTGGTTATGTAAGCCTTTTTTTAAACTCTTTACTTTGTGTTCATAATAGGGATCAGCTATAAGATTAGGGGTTTCATCACTAATAATGAACTGGCAAACCGTGCACAAGTCACAAAGGAAAGGAAAATAATGAGCTTTCCTGTTCACACCCAAATGCTCACCTTGTCTGTGCGTGCACACCTCTGGAAGGACATTTTCTTCATGTGTTCTGCATGATTCTCAGGAATACAGTCAGATAGGACGAGTGCTTGCACAAGTTCATCTTCAATTGTTTTGTACTGTGAAGAACCCACGTTTCGCTGTAATAACACACAATGGGGCAAAAATATGAAAATGATTAACTTTAAGAAAGTGGAAGTTTAGCTTGCTCAAAGAGGAACAACAACACTGCATCTGGGCACCACAATCCCAAAACACTATTTAATTCATTTTAATATGCAAAACAAACCAATCTTTATTTTTCAGAGAAATCGCTTTGATAAAAAAAACAAAAAAAAAAAAAAACACCCCTGGCATTTATGATGATTAATGTAGCATTTTCTTCCTGGAATCCATCAGCTCTTAGTTCAGGCATGCAGGCAGGAGGGTGTGCTTAGCTGAGAAAGCACCTCCTCCCCTCCTGAAGATTCTTGGAATGTATGACATTTGCCTAGGCATGGAAACCAGGAAGAAACTGTGAAAATGTAAAAAAAAAAAAAAAAAAAAAAAAAAAAAATGTAAAAACAAGTAAATATGGGACATTTTCCTATTTATTAATGCTAGCAGCAAAAGAATAAAAAAATAGTCAATGCTGAATGAGAAACTAAAGTTCCACTTTAAAAACACTAATCTCCCCTCCTCCTACCTGTACTGTTTGTAAAAGAGATACATGTGTGAATACATTTTCTCGAATCTGATTTCCTCTGGTCACATAATGCAGAAGCAGCGCCTTGCCTCTGTCAGGGAGTACTTGACATTAAGGTTGAATTCCCAGAGCTGTGATGTCACCCACCAGCTTTCATCTCCCCTGCAGCAGCCACTCAGTGACACAAGGGAGTCACTTTTTAAGCAGACATATATTGCTTAAACTTCTGCTTTAATGTAGCCAATGTTATGATTCACATACCTTGCCCCACCATACATTCAGACAGGTGACATCTATGTTTTCATCTGTGATTTACTGTATCTGTAGAACTATCTACATCAGGGGTGTCCAAACTTTTTTAAAGAGGGCCAGATTGGATGAAGTGAACATGGTGGAGGGCCGAACATTTTTCCAAACATTCTTTGAACCATTAAAATTAAATGCAAATAAATTTTATGCCAAGTTACTGTATTTTTCGCCGTATAAGACGCACCTGACCATAAGACGCACCTAGGTTTTAGAGCAGAAAACAGGAAAAAAAAAATTCTGAACTAATGGACTGCAGACACAGTACAGGAGATGACCAGAGACTGCGGACAGCACAGGGATGACCAGAGACTGCGGACAGACATTGGGTGACCAGAGACTGCGGACAGCACATTGGGTGACCAGAGACTGCGGACAGCACATTGGGTGACCAGAGACTGCGGACAGCACAGGGGTGACCAGAGACTGCGGACAGCACATTGGGTGACCAGAGACTGCGGACAGCACATTGGGTGACCAGAGACTGCGGACAGCACATTGGGTGACCAGAGACTGCGGACAGCACATTGGGTGACCAGAGACTGCGGACAGCACATTGGGTGACAGAGACTGCGGACAGCACATTGGGTGACCAGAGACTGCGGACAGCACATTGGGTGACCAGAGACTTTGACATTTACCAGAGACTGCGGACAGCACAGGGATGACCAGAGACTGCGGACAGCACAGGGATGTGCGGACAGCACAGGGATGACCAGAGACTGCGGACAGTACAGATGACTGCTGACCTTTGGGGAGGTGGGGAGCGGGTACCTGAATTTGACAGGTACCCGCTCTTACTTCCGCAGTTGTTCTTTGATCTTACCTGTTCCTCGATCCAGCCGCGCGCTGTCTTCCCGGCTTCTGTAATGGCGCTCGGCATGACAGCCGGGTGCCCAGTGCGCATGAGTGTGATTGGTCCGGCGGCTTCTGGGATCTGTCATGTGTCCCAGGTACCGCCTTACCATTCACAAAAAGCACCGCTTCTTGCGCATGCGCACTTGGCACCCAGCTGTCATGCCCAGCGCCCACACTACAGAAGCCGGGAAGACAGCGCGCCGCTGGATAGAGAAACAGGTAAGGTCCCGCTGCAGAGCTGAGCGGCCGACCCGGTATTCTGACACGGCCGCGGTGGAAATACCGGACCGGCCGCTCCATATTGGCTCCATAAGACACACTGACACACTGACATGGAGGGTGTATTAAACCGACCCTCGGGCCGTAAATGGCCCGTGGGCCGGACTTTGGACATGCCTGATCTACATCTATCCAATGACGCTGAAAAAGTTCATACATGAACAGATGCAGACATCTACGCTGTAATAGTATACTATATATATATATAGTGTTTTAATGGAAGTAATACAAATTAGGTTTATGAATAGTTTATTACAGCGATAAGACTGCATTTGCTATAGGAACAGGAATTAAAAATCTACTAAAAGAAATAAACACTCAGAAGTAGTAGATTGTCTGGATCGAAGCATGCTAATAGAAGTGTAGAAGGGGCTGTATTTACAGCCTTACAAAGAGAAGTTTCCTACACTCCAGAAGTATATTTTAAAAACTGATTTAGGAAGGAAAGACTTACAGGAAATTAATATTTTATATTAATAAACATTTGTGTTTAAGTAGAAGATAATACACGTATTTGTATGTGCATCACTGCTGTAATTACCTGCATGCCATGGTAACCTTTCCCAGAATATGCCATAAGCAGGACCACTTTTTTCTTGGGATACTTCTTTGCCTGCTCTTCATGATCAGGCTTAAACCTCTTGGCAACATGTCCATTTTCCTCCACAGTCTCGGAATCCTCTTGAAGACTGGAAGCTTTCCTGGTTTCCCCTACACTACTAGCCTGTAATATATTCTCCTCCATTAGGGAAGCCATGAGAAGATCTTACACCGATTACTGCAATAAAGGTGTACAGTAAAACTTGTGAAAACGCTAGCAAGATAAAAGCATTGCTCAGTTCTGCTCAAAATGTCCCTATAAGTATCTGTATACCCAAGCAGTGTGTGTTCCAGGTATTCCTCCATGAGTGCATACTGCCCTAAACAATAGTACCATTTGGTGCACCGTCTGGTCACAGCAGCTGTTCAAGGATACGTTTTGCAACATGTTACACCCATATTCAGGGTGTAACCTGTTACCGTAAGCCCACCCCCTGCACCCCCGATGTGACAGCTAGCAGGACATCTTCTGCCCCCGCTAGTTGTTACAATTTTAAAAAATGTGGCTGTGCGGGGCTCTGCCCACATCATTCATTCACAGACTTCTGTGAATGGGAAACTACAAGTCCCGACAGCCTTTGCGGCTGTTGGATTTTCAGTTCTCAATGAACCACCACAATGCTGCTGAGTGCTTTGGTAGTTCATTGATTCTTCCTATCAGAATAAAACTGCCAGCTTGTACAAGGTAATAGCAGACAGATTACACTGACAGTCTACAGGGGACCTGCATGGCTCCAGCAATCCGCTGATCGCTGGTGCAATGCTTTTCAGCCCCCTAAAACAAAAAATAGTAAATGCACATTTTTTACTGGGGGGGAAAAAAAGTGCATTTATTATTTTTTTTATTAAAATAACTTATCCTTTAACCTCTCACAGGCTGCTGCAGTGGGGTTGGTGCCTTCTGCTAGAACCTAAATGCCAGAGTCTCATACACCAGGGCTAAACACTCAGTGTGCATATGTATTTTATTAGTGTGTTTAGTTTAGCCATGTGCTGGAAATAAGGTTTTAGCTACACTGCCTTTTTTTGTTGGCAACTAAATTGCAACAATTGATTTAGGGCAGCTGTCCATTCCTGACTGCGGTAAGGTGCAATCTGGTGCATGATTCAGCGCATCACATACAGCTCCTGTACTGCCGTACAGTGCCATGTGATCCTGTACAGCACATTGCGATACAATGCAGCATGTCTGCATTTTAACACACCTTTGAGCCGTGTTTCAGTGTGAATGGGACACACAGAGCAAATGTTTTCCATGTATCCTTGCGGTGACAGGTGTTTTAAAATGCAGCAAGTATGAATTAACCCTCGCTAAGGTTCACACCTATGCAGTTTGCGTTTGATCCGTTTCTGCAGTGCTTTTTGCACATGTGCTTTTGATGCGTTTTTTTTTTTCCCAACTTGTTGCTGGGCAGATTAAACGTCAAAACCCATCAAAAACGTACACAAAATTAGCTACATGCATTTCTGCAGCGTCTCCACTGAAGTCTATTGAACAAAAAATGCAATGTTTTGCATTTAAAAAAGTCCCTGACCCTTTACAAAAACGCACCGGGTAAAAACGCGATGAACGTGTCCCATAGGAAATCATGTAAAATGGATTGTAGTGCGTTTCTGCAAAAACACAAACCGCTTAGGTGTGAACCTAGACTAAAGAAGTGTTAAATCTTCAAAGTAAACAGTCTGAATGTTCACTTCAATAATCCAAACATGCAGATGAAGTAGGCACCCTATGATGATGAGCTTCGCTCGAAACGCGTCAGCGGGCTACAGCTGGACGTTTAACCACCGCAGGTGGCCATCCTGAATTAAATTTTATATTGTCAGTGTTTTTGCCTTATGCTTTTGCAACACATTTAACCGATCTGTATGCACTTACTTGTGAATAAAATATCCCTACGGTATCACACTATGTGGTGTCCCTTACTTGGCTCTCTTTATTGAGAGCCTTCACCCGCAGAACCTGCATCCTAAAGGGACCTTCCAATGTGTTACGCACCTGAGTGCCATTCCTGAGACGTGACCAGAAGGTGTATAGGATCCTGACCCTTGTACGTTTAATGATGACCCCGTGCAGCCTAACTGAACAAGCTGAAGCTCAAAGTTGATTGGTTAGTATGCACAGCTGCTCCAGTTTTAGTACATTCCCACTTTCATTGCCAACAATGAAACGCTTGTGTACAATTCTATTAGACTCTGTGGTCAGAAAAAGTCAGAATCCTGGGGGTGGGCAGCGCAGTTACTAAATGGTCAGCACTTCCACCTAGCTGTACTAGGTTGTTGGTTCAAATCCCAACCATGGCACCATCTGTCTAGCGTTTGCATGTTCCCAGTGCCTGCGTGGGTTTCCTCCAGGTAATCCGGTTTCCTCCCACACTCCAAAGACATGCTGGTATGTTAATTGGCTCCTGTCTAAATTGGCCCTAGTAAGTGCATGTATGAATGTAAGCTAGGCTCCTTTCACACGGACCAGACCCGTTTAGCAGATCCACTTGCTCAGTGGGGGGGATCTCTCCGCTTAGCAAGTGGATGACAGCTCTGTGTCTCCTCTGCTGCTGCTCACTCTCTTCAATGGACGGTCAGATGAAAACGGACCACCTGTCCATTTTCATCCAACCCGATCCAATGGACAGAAGGGGAATTGGATCCCCACCCGTCCCTTTTTCGCAGATCAGATGCCGCTCCATAGAGGAGAATGGAGGTTCCGATTGGGTCCGTCTGAAAAATGGGCAGGCAGACCCGATTGGAACATCCATGTGAAAAAGCCTTTAGATTGGACACTCCTTGAGGGTTAGGGACTGACAGGAATGTACAATATATACGTAAAGTGCTGATGTATAGAAGTACCTGAAATAAATGCACACAGCATGCAAACTGACAGCACAGTAAGACTGATGACAAGCTCTAACTACATGAAATACAATGTAACATGTAGCAAGTCCAGGGCAAAGTGTCCCCATTCCATGAAGGAAGTGAGAGCAGCAGAGACAGACTGCAGGGCAATGACAACACATACACACAGGGCGCTCTATGGCAGAGGAAATACCTGCACGTGTATTACTACACAAGAAGCCAAATCCTTGTGTGCTGGAGGACCTGCGATGACATCACGATCATGTGACCAAACTCCTCAGCCTCACACAGCGAGTTCACATGGAGCGAAAGGACCTTCCGTGATGCTTCCGTCACGTGACTTGACTGAAGAATAGGCGGGGCATGTAAGGCTGCCTGAATGAGCTGTTTTTTTCTTCCCCTTGTTCTCAGAAGTACAAGTTCATAAGAAGGCCGTGTTCTCAGTCCTAGGCGAGCCTCGCCCACATTTCTCATCCTTCCCAAAGGGTGGCCACAAACCTCGGGTTCTCAAAGACCTCAGTATGCATTGAAGCCTGCACACAAGGACTGCGAATGGCTTTGAGTTACATCCGACACTTCCGAGAGTGTCAGAGGTCCACAGCCTGGAGCCTGACCACCCCCTACCATTCTGACATCACCTGGGCACAGGGAGCCTCATGGGAGGTTGTGCTCAGGAGTCGGTGGTTGAGGCTTCCATCTAGCTTAATCCCATCATTCTCTTCCAGCTCGTTTACAGTCTTTTCCATGTCCCCTAGAACTAAACTTGAAGTTTGCAGAGCCTCACCCTCCCCTTAAACATGCAGTTCGGGCGGAGCCTCACCCTCCCATAGACTAAACGTGCAGTTCGGGCGGAGCCTCACCCTCCCATAGACTAAACATGCAGTTCGGGCGGAGCCTCACCCTCCCATAGACTAAACGTGCAGTTCGGGCGGAGCCTCGCCCTCCCATAGACTAAACATGCAGTTTGGGCGGAGCCTCACCCTCCCATAGACTAAACATGCAGTTCCGGCGGAGCCTCACCCTCCCATAGACTAAACGTGCAGTTCGGGCGGAGCCTCACCCTCCCATAGACTAAAATGCGTCGGGCGGAGCAGACTAAACATGCAGTTCCGGCGGAGCCTCACCCTCCCATAGACTAAACATGCAGTTCGGGCGGAGCCTCACCCTCCCATAGACTAAACGTGCAGTTCGGGCGGAGCCTCGCCCTCCCATAGACTAAACGTGCAGTTCGGGCGGAGCCCCACCCTCCCTTAGACTAAACGTGCAGTTCGGGCGGAGCCCCGCCCTCCCATAGACTAAACATGCAGTTCGGGCGGAGCCCCGCCCTCCCCTAGACTAAACATGCAGTTCAGGCGGAGCCTCACCCTCCCCTAGACTAAACATGCAGTTGGGCGGAGCCTCACCCTCCCCTAGACTAAGGCTGGCCATACACTATACAATTTTCTGTCCAATTTCCTTTAGATTTACCTTCAACTATGTAGTGCAAAGGCCTGCCTAATTGGATACAGTTGAAAGTGTTGTTTAGGTTTATATGATTTTTGGTAATCTGCAGTAAAATTCTCCAGAAAATTGTATAATGTATGGCCACCTAAACTTGCAGTTCGGGCAGAGCCCTACTGCAAGGGAGAATTTTCAAGTTTCCTGGATTTGGGCTTTAAATATTACGCCCCTTTCAGACGGGCATACTCTGTTTTGATTGGCAGGGGATCTGTCCGTTGATCTCGTGCTGATCAGAGCAGAGCTGGTAGACGTGTCCGTGTCTGCTCAGTTTCCGTTGAGTTGACATAGACCGAGCCGCTTTGCTCTATGGGCATCAGGGAGTAAATGGAGCCTGCTATCCATTTATACCTGACTACCCTCTGATCTGATCCACCAAGATGGATGGTGACAGATCCCCTTCTTTTATTTTTTCCTTAGCAGACCAGAGCGGATTGGAGGTAGGTGGCTGTAAATGGACACAAATCCATTTACACCCTCTGGTCTATAGAGGAGAATGGGGTGAATGGACCACAATCAGGTCCACCTGACAGGAGGACCTGATCAGACCCACCATGTGAAAGGGGCCTAATAGTTTATGAACTTTAAATATCCAATAAGTTACAGCAGACATTCACCCAATAAAAAAAATATTTTCTCTTCTGATTCCCCCCTCAGCACTTTCCTCACTTAGGTGAAAATGACATAGAGACCCCTGCTGCCTCCTGGGTCTGTTTGTTGGACTAATGAATAAATGGGTTTGGGGCGATTTTTTTCACTGAGTGGGTCCCTTCTTTTTTGGAGTCTTTTCTAGTGGCCAACAACTAC